AGTTCAGTTAAAGAGAGGCATAATATTTTTTTACTCATTTGACTCCTTTCTATTTGGTCATATCAGTAGCAAATGAAAAGACTAGTGAGGATAAAAGCATCGAAATACAAGCAGTCTAGGGAACTAGACTTATTAGGAGAAAAACATATTCTTTTGGGCCCTCCAAATCAGTGTAGTAAACTACCATGTTGTTCTGGTGAGCCATGTTTTTGGATATATGAGAGACTCACTGCCTTAACTCATAAAACATCTCCAGATATGATGGAAGGCTATGTGGCACAGACTGTGGGAAAGAGCAGCTACCAGTGTTCCCTAATCTCATGGAGAAAAGGAAGATGGTTGACCCGTTTTAGATCTGAGGAAGCTCAACTTGATTATCTGCAAAATTACATTCAACATGGTGACCCTAGCCTTCATACTCACCTCCCTGGAGTCAACAAGCAGGTTTGTGCTTCTCTTCCATATTTCTATTGTACTTACAGGAAAGAAATTCTTTAGATTTATGGTAGGTCAAAGTCATTACTGGTGCAAGGTCCTGCTTGCTGTCTGACCAGTTAACAGCATCCCTAAGTTGGCAGCCAAGTCCTTTTGGTGGTAGCCATTAGGCCTGTGTGAAGCAGCTAGTATTCACTTTGGATTTGGATTTGGCCGATTCAGGGGACAGTGATTTGATTCAATGTTTTGAATTGCTGTCCTGAATCAATTCAGCTGAATCTGATTTGGAGATTTGGCCACTGTCAAATTGGCTGAATCTCCAAATCGAACAGGCCCCATCCTCTGCCTGCTCTCCCAGCCCCAGCATCCTGGCTCTTTTAAAAAAATTTAAAAAAAGAAAAGAAAAAAGTCCCACACTCACTGGCTCCTCCCAGATGGGGGCCGATCCCTGCTGCCCCCCACGGCCCTGTGTTGAGTGGGGGGGCTCTGCCACGAGCCCCTAGACGCCCCGACCACTGCTGCAGCAGCCAGTGAGTGTGGGGCTTTATTATTTCTTAAGTGCCAGGACACGGGGGCCGGGGGAGCAGGCAAGGGATGGGGCCTGGCAGGGGTCCCCATGGTCCCCTTCCCCCCTGCCCCTTACAAGCATTGAGTCCGGGTCCAGCTTCCTGTGGTGGTGGTAAGCGGGGGCTGCCTGAATCTCTGAATCTTCTGCAAATCGATTTGGAGGCTTCAAACCAATTCAGACCTTTTTATTGGTCTCCTGATTCGATTTGGATTTGGAGACTCAGCCGTCGAATCGGGCCTAATCTCCTCAGAGTCGAATCAACACCCAAAGCTTAGCACAGCCCTAGGAGCCATCTGCTTAAGGAAGAACTGTGGTTCTATGGCTAGATAAGTGTTTAGTGAAAATCTTTCCAGAAGTATCTGGAAACTATGGCTCCTTTGCCTTCTTCTGGACCTACAATTGAGGGTAAGTAACTGGAAATTTAACTTTATTTCAGCGCAGAGATTTGGGTTCTTTGGAGCTATTCTGGATTCTTTGTCAGCCAGGGTTTAAGGCCTTCAGGGCAGGTTCCAGATCCTATGCAAAAGGATCTTACAACTAACAGACAGTCCACATATGATCGTGAAAAATTGCCTATTGCTTCTGGGGCCTGTGGCTTTATGCACTTAGGGGATACCTCATCCAGATTACATATCTGCTGCATGCAAAGCTTGTTGAAATCTAGCATTTCCTGGATATGTCAGTGACAGTTTCCCTTCTAGTTCTGCCTTGTAGAAAATGTCTTCCTTCTCCCCTCTTGTACTGTCCAGGATAATCCTGGCTGTGGTAGCAGTATTCCCCAGTTGAGAACCACCGCAATAATTTGAACACAACAGTGGTTCTCAATTGGGGGCTCTGCTACATTCAAAAAAGTGGTGGAGGGGTGCCCTGAATCTGAAAATGTTGAGAACCACTGATCTACAGAGTACAAACATAGTCAAAATGGTTAATGGTTACATTGCAAATTAAACGTGAAAAAACACCAAATAAATGGTAATTTTATATTAGATACTCTAGAAAATAAAAAGAAATGCATTAGATTGCAATCTGACCCAGGACTGAGATTTGACTGTGACAAGAGCTAAAAGTAATCAGAATAACATAACCTGTTACTTGGATCATTCATTTATGTGAAAGACCCTATAAACAAATAATACCACTAGAGGGCCCTGTATTAAAGACTTTAGCTTTAATAACCTGGAGATATGAGCAGTCTGGCTATTATAACTATAATAATCATATGTCTAATCCTTTTCTTGCCAATAATTACTACCAGTTACCACACAGAGACTAATTCTGCACAGGATGAATTAGAGATTTGAGAAAACGTAAGTAAAACTGCACAGTTGGGCTATTTTAAGTATTAAATAGTCATAGAGGTAGCACTCTGAACGTATTGAAGTTAAGACATATGCAATATAACTTGATCATTATTGTAGGATACTGGAAACTGGCTTTTCAATTGTGAGCGGCCAAAACAGATCTGTTTTTCCCTCAGAATTCATTTGTAAACTTTTAAAAATAACTTAACTGCCCTTATTTTTAAAGTTATTCTATTACCTTCAAGCACTGTTCTCATCCTTGAGGAAAAAAACCTATTTGCAGGATTTTGAAAGAAGAATTGTCCCCAAGTCCATGTCCTTTCACTTTCACCCTAACACCACAGCTACCACCATTTATTGAGGGTCTTCTTGAGCTCTCCAAGGTCTTACCTCCTTCATGTACGACCTCCTGTCATCATTTTTTGTGTTGAGGACAGATTTAACTAAAGGGGCCAAGCAGATCAATGAACGTAGGTGGCCCAATAATAGAGGGCCTAACTAGGGAGTCAGATGGAGGTGTGGCAGAAGAATAGAGACTGTGTTGGCTAAAGAAGAAGGCTGGCAACCAGTGGCAAACTTCTGCCTCCCTCCACACAGCCTAGATTTTGAGCAGGCCGAAGTGTGTCCATCTGTGTCCCCTCCCCTGCTACCTACTGTGGCTTCACGTCATGCGTGGGTCCCTGATGCAAGAAACAATACTAACCTGCACCCCAGGCCCTGGGACCCTTTCAAGATTGGTGAAGAAGGAATAACTTTGCAGGCAGAGAGCCTGTCTTCCTAGTCTCAGACCTTTGGACTGAAACTTGCTTTTCTAGAAATCCTAGGCAGTTGGACCTCTGGACTTTGTCCTGGAAATGAAGAAGACCTGAAGAGTGGAAGAAAAGGAAATGTTTCTATGTAATTAGTCCGCAAAGGAGACCATTCTGAAGCTTCTGAGCTCTCCCCTTTCCCTTTCTCAGTGTAACTGCAGCCACTTACATCCAGGAGTATATCATTTTAGAGTTAAGATATTTCTTTTATTTCATTTTTTTTTTGTTATACAATACAGAAAAGCAGAGGATCCTAAGCAGCCCAGATTAAATGTCCAGCTTTCCAACTTCCCACTGTAGGTGGATATGCCAAAGAGAAGGGAAATACTAGGGGAGCAGTGAGCCTAGAATGTGACTAAGAGACGAGAGTTTTGGGCAGCATTTTCTAAACTGTGACTGCACTTGTCTTTCATAAAATCTTACAACAGACATCCTTCTCCACGTCCCTCTCCATACCTTGCCAAAGTGCCTGCACAGGCCTATATAAACTGTGCCACTTCTTTGCTTGCTGAAATTGTCCTGTGTGGCAAATTCCAAATGTTGTGAAGAGTGAATAGCCTTACAAATTCTGACTGGAAAACATCACGTGTTAAAATGTACAAACAAAAATGTTTAAAATACCAAAAATAACCATAAGTATCATTGTTGTGGCACACTTCTGTCACTTTTTTATGGCACACCCTTCAGCAAGCACAGGTATTGGGGAAAGGAGAGTATGTTGGATCACAGGACTTATGGAGGTGGCTAGGGGAAGAACCTGTTATGTACCTAGCCCACATGTATGTGCTTTGTTTTACAATTCTTATTTTCATACTGTTTTTGCTCTGACTGACTTGATTGCTTTTAGTGTGACCCTGAGCATTAAATGGGGCTGAATGGACTAATTATCTGAGATGTTTTCCCACCCTCAGGCCTTTTGCCTCCTTAGCAGTCCCTGTTGTTCCCAGCTGAAGAGTAACAGTACAAGGCTCCTAAAGTTGACTTCTAGTCAGGCAGAAAGCAGGATAGAGTTGCACTTTATAGACTAACTAAATCAGAGATGTATAGCATAACCTTTCATAAGCAGAGGGCTTACTTGACCAGAGGCTGCAAAGGAACTGCAGGGAGCAGAGCTTTGAAATAGAAAGCAGTGATTAGAATGGAAAGGGGAGGAGAAAGCAGGAGGCACTATGGAAGGAGGGAAGGTAGATGGGAGAGACAGACAAAGCACTTAACCTGAGAGACACAAGGTTTATAAAAGCTAATCCAGGTAGTGAATAAAAATTCATAGTCCCTGTTTAGACCAGGAGTACTGAACCCCTGGCCAGCAGGCCGGATTCAACCCACAGAAAGAACCATGCCATCTAGCCTGGAAGGGTCTCCACAACAGGCAACTGCAGTTCCTCTGCTGCCAAATTTCTGAACTCATGGAGAGTCCTGTGGCTGGATAGCATGCTAGGTCAATGCCTAGAAGTGGCCTGGGTCCTGATCTGAGTCTGCAGTGGTTGGCTGGAGGTAATGCCAGGCCTATGGGGGCCTAGGTCTTGCAACATGGGACTGAGCAAAGCAGTGCAGGGCCCCAATCTGGTGGCACAGGGCATGGGCCCCCAGTCCGGTGGCATGGGCCCAATCCTGGTTTGCAAGATCCAGTCCAGCCTATGGGCTACTGATCCAGCCTGTGGCAGCAAAAGGTTGAGCATGACTGGTTTAGACCAGGGGGTTTTGACCTTTTTTAACAAGTGTACCCCTTCTGGTGGCAGCGGCCAGATGTGGGTGGGGGGCTCACATGTGGCACCCACCACCGCCACCCACTGCTCCATGCTGCTGCTGCCGTGCTTTCCCATTGCTGGTTGCATGTGCGGCTCTGTGGTCTGAGGGGAGGCTGGGCGATGGCAGCAAGGTAGAGCCATGGCCCAGTACACAATCGGCTGGAGGTGGGAGGAGGTGAGGGCAGCATCTGCCCCCCCCCCGCCATTATTCCTGGCAGCGCAGCTGGTGTGGGGGTCCTGGCAACAGCAGCAAAGAGTCTCACTGCCCTGCTCCCCTGCTCTGCCTTCTTGCCTGCTGGGCTGTGGATGTGGCTCCTGCCCATGCTGGTGTTACCGGGCTGCAGCCCCATGCCTGCTGCGGGTGCACAAATCTGGCCTCCCACATGCATCCCCATGCTCACTGTGCCCCCCAACCCCATTCTCGATTCCCCACAGCCCCATAGACTTACCTGCAGGGAGTTGTGGGAACTGCTTTCCACGCTGCCTGCCTGGCTGCTATGTGCATGTATGTGCACACACATGCACCTTGTGCCGTCTACCCAATTGCCCTCCTCCTGCTCTCTCGACCCCAAGCAGCTCTTTGCATGCTTGAACTCTGCCAGCCTGCAAAGGGAAACCTGTGGTTTCCCACATTTTTCTCCTTTAAAAGAGAAAATCCATTTTTAAATCCAGGGCAAAAAAACCCTGGACCCCTGCTTATTAGTATGCATAGTGTTAACGCAACCGCATCGATTTTTTTTCGAAAATGTATGCAAAATATAATAAACCGTTTTTAAAGTTTGCTTGTGACCATTTCATATATTCTTGTGACCCACTTCTGGGTCATGACTCACAGATTGAGAAATACTGGACTAGATGACCGGTGGAGCTCCCTTCCAGCCCTGCCTTTCCATGAGTCAAAGCCATGCTGCCTGCAGGAACAACCACAGGTGAGGAGGCCAACCAGTACCAAGTACCCACACTGCCCTGGGGCGTGGCTGCTATGGCACATAAAGAAATCAGTGGCTTGCCCCAGTAGTTCTCCTCTCCCCTGCTTCCATCCTGTGTGATCCTCCCTCACTGCCTTCCCCCTCCCTCTGAAGGTGCCTGGACTTGGGAGAGGTGCTAAGTATGAAACAAGGCTGCCTAGAGCAGCTGTGGAAGGGCAGATTTCAGGGGCAGGCTCAACAGATTTCAGGGGCAGATTTCAGGGGCAGGCCTTTTTCTTTTTTCTAAAGTTCTTGTCTGGGACCAAATCAGTTCCAAATCTATTGACAGAGCACAGCTCAAATGTTCAAGTCTGTGCGGCGCTACCACCAGCCAGTATCCTCGTCAGCCTGGGGCTTCAGATACTTCCAAATTCATGGCAGGCATCTTACGTTCAAGCTCAGAGGCTTTGGTCTTCAGATGCCCCCTAGTCTCACTGACCCCTAGCCACAAGGCTGAAGGAGCAAACTAGAGGGAATGTCCAAGAGCAATCCCCCATTGCCATAAATTGTGTAGCTGAGATCCTTGTACCTGGAGGCATTTGTAGACTCTGGCAGGGGACAGCCTGCCCACAGTGCAAGGGGACTGGCCTTCAACCTGTGCGAGGGACAGTGTCCGCAGTGCAAGGGACTGGCCTTCACCTTCTTCACCCTGTGCAGAGGACAAACCTGCAGTGCCAGGGACTGGCCTTCACCCTTTTTCCAGAGCAAGGGACAGTGTCCGCAGTGCAAGGAACCGCTCTTCACCCAGTCACTGAAGGCCCAGAAGAAGGGTATCTCCCCTGCCAGGCAAGTAAGCCCCCCTCATGGTCTCCTCGCTGCTGGCTGAGGCCGGGCCGCCTCCCGTGGGCGCGGGGCCGGGCGCTGCCGTCGCCGCTCGCTTTCCCGCCGCAGGGGCGCGGCGGAGGCGGC